TGGTCAAATGTTGCATCCCTCTCAATACCTCCACTAATCCAGCTTCTACTCGCTATATTCATTCCTCGGTCCTCCCAATTCTCACCTCCATTACTTCCATATGGTGGTCCATCGTTCTCGTCATAACCATTCAATGCTCGCAGGAAAGAGAGCTTCGATACCAAATTGTAACAAACTGAACCAACAATCTCTAAAACAAATCAGAAGACAACGATAATTTGTATTTAATTCCTCAATCAACAATATCAATATCAATTACAAGTAATCCCATCAGTATTACACCATAACAGATTACAAAATAAAGAAATGAAATATAGGTTCAGAGGAGTTAGAGAACCCTTGATCTCTCCGAAAAGCCTTAGTCCCAATTGCCCAAAAAGATGTCATGCTATACTCCTTGGTTCCCTTTTATTCTCATGCCTTAATCGTTTGTTGAGTCAGCACTAGCACTTGTTGCACAAGTTGATAAGTCGAAAGAGAGTAATTCTCTGAAACACTGTCTACGGTAAGTCTTTAATTTAGGAGGGATTGTATCATTATATATAAAATATGCATAATTAATTTAAAAAATTAAAATTGACATGTATGATTTTCTGAAAATTAACATTAATATACTAATTAGTCGCTTTTTTTTTTTGGTAAACACTAATTAGTCGCTTTTAATTTAATATATAGGTGCAGATTTCATATTAATTAGCTTAGAAATGATATTAAATCTTATTTGAAATTAAAATATATTCGCACTAAAAAAATAAGTAATTGAAATTTGTAAAACGGAAAAAGTTGGAAATTAATAAATAATAGACAAAAAGTGAAGAATTTAAATGAACGTTTATGTTCGAAAGTAATTAGTTTATGAGTGTTAAAAAAGTGCTTTTCAAGTCACTGTCATACAGAAAAAGAGAGCATTATAAAAAATACCATAGAGATTTTATTTTTATTATATAGAGTTAGATTCTTAGCATGTTCTAATGTTCTATGATGAAGAGTATTAAAAGCCTGCAAATTATATTTGTTTTCAGAAAAGCCCAGAGATTGATTAGAGAATCAAAAGAGTCAAAAGCACAGTGAGTAATTACCGACCATTTAAATCTTGGAGGCCCAGATGAAAGACCAAGTTTTCGTGCGGGCTTTTATCGCGGTCCAAGCTGCTTCGATCATGGCCTTCATTTTTTGGGTTTTCTTTCCTCATCATGTTTCTATGTGGACTTTCTTGTTAGGGGTTAACGTTTCTTCAATAACATAAAATAATATGATTTCTTGCAATTTTAAAATGAAGTTGTTTTAGGGGTTTTGAAAAAAATACAGGGCATTTTGGTAAAATTATATGATATACAAAGAAAATAGAATTACTAAAATACCCTATATTTTTTCTAAATTTCTAAAATGACATTATTTTGGAGTCATATAAGATAATTTTATCTTATGTTGTAAGAAAAAATATTTCTTCCTTCCTATTATAATATTTTTTCTCGAATTTAAAATTCATGGTTCATATGTGTGAGCTTAATATTTTTAAATCGGTACACCACCTCAATAAACCATTCGCAATCATTAAATGAAAAAGAAGAAGTAATTGTTCATTTGTTCAGAGAAACTTCGCAATAGAAATGTATAGAAAGATATATGCATTATCAGAGAACGACATATAAACAATTCAATTACCTGCCTTATTGTTTGTTTCTTTTGGAAAGATGTATATAAAATATAAGGGATAAATTAATCTTATGTTGAAGGGGATAACTTCTCTTATGTGAGTGACACAAAATTAAAGTGGATCCCATTTTGATTTTTTTTATTTTTTAGTGGGACCCACATTAAGTTTATCTCACAATATGAGAGATACTCTCTCATGTAACATAAGATTAAATTTTTTTTTTTTTTGATAACAACATAAGATTAATTTATCCCAAAATATAAATGAGTACAATTAAATGTCAACCCTTGAATTGAAAAACGTCGCAACCAACGTTAGTTGGAGAGATTGATACATAACCATATTTGTACATCCGCCAAAACAAAATTAACTTAAAATCCAAAGAAAAGTTATATTTATTAGGGTAAGTAACACCTAATTTTATTCCTGACCACATCACTAGCATCTGTTGCGATGTTTAAAAGTTATTTTTATTTTTTTGAATTAACTCAACCCTAATTATCTATTTGAGGTGAGTAAGTTCTCCCGGGTATCTCTACAAATTTTGATTCTTTGAGTCGGCTATGAGATTAATCCGGAATGCGGGGCGGGTTAGGATGAAGATATTTAAACCCCTTCCAAAGATGGTATGTGGAGATCGAACTGAAGCTCTTTCCTTTTTACGTACTTAGCTCTTTTGATATCAACTGAGCTACCACCGTTTGATTTAAAAATTTAATCTTAAATGCCTATTTGATGGAAAAAGATAGGATAAAGATGAATAATATATATATATATATATATATATATATATATATATATATATATATATATATATGAGGTAGGATCCTTTGACACCAGTGTCAAATTTGAAATTTGACACCTCATCTGAAAGCTATTAGATAAAAAAAGATCAATGATGTCACATGCTTACAAATCAGAGTCGTTGATCTTTTTTGATCTAATGACTCTCAGATGAAATGTCAAATTTTAAATTTGACACTGGTGTCAAAGAATCCTATATATATATATATATATATATATATATATATATATATATATATAAAAGTGGATATCTTATCTTATGTTTCATATATACTGGATAATAGCCAGAAATCCTATCTTATGTTTCATTTCATGTTTACTAGATAAATAGTTTGATAATATAATATTATTTTATCATGTATTTGAGGTGAACTATATGATATTATGTATGATATAAATAAATAAATTTTTTAGATATAATTTCATATTATTTTTTATAAATAATTTTTTAAACTTATTTACACATTAATTCTTATTTAAATTATTTAAAAAGTCATAATTTGAAATAAAATATATTAAAATAAAAAACTAACTTCCAAAAATGTTCAAAATAAAAATTTATATTATCACCAAATAATTTTTTTAAATACTATGTTTTAAACTAATTATCAATTTTGATGTCGGGTGGCAGTGGCCCTACCTAGTGGTAGGGGATGATGGCAATGCATGGTGGTGATAGCGTTGGTGATGATTGATGGCAATTGTGGTGATTGATTAATGGCGATGTGGTGGCAATGATGCTTGGTACCTAATGCTCAAGAGTGACAGTGGTTCGTTGATGGTGGTAGTAGGTGGTAGCGATGGCCAATGGTGATGACAATGATGGTGGTGATGGTGACACCAGCTATGGCCTGTGATGATTGTGGTGGTTGACCAATGGTGGTTAGGAGTGGTGGAAAGCTAAAAATTGGTGATGGTGGTGGTGATTGGTAACTCATGGTAATGGTTGATAGAGAATGCGACTATGGTCGGTGACAAGGGTTAACTGGTAAGCAAAATTCGTAGGAAAAAAGCATAAAGCTACGTTAGGGATGAGAGAGATGTGATTTTGCTATCTTATTCGATCCATTTATAATCTGAGCCCCCTTAGGATAACATATCCTGTTGGGGACAAAATAAAATGTGCCACCAGACATAGAAGCATTACAAGGGAAACTATATAAGAGACATAAAAAATTAAATTAATGTACATAATTCTTTGGTTAAATATATATTTATATAAAAAATTTCGTAGTGTAATATCATTAAAATATTAATAAGGATTTACAAAGACACCTAGACTTAAGTAAATCATGGTGTTGGGTGGGTAAGTAGGATTCCATAACAAGGAAAAACTACCATTCAGTAAAGCTACATTAATCATAACATGTGAGCTCAACAATACATTTCAATCCAAAACCTTAGGATATTATGTTTATGAGTCATTCAAATTATATAATTTTTATTTAGTTCATTACGGATTATATCACATTTATATCCTAACACATGAATTCATAAACAAAAGTAAAAGTAACATTATTTGGAGAAATTCTTTACTAATTGATTCAGTAGTATTATTTGGTACATTTCGTTTGAGAAAATTAACATTATTTATCAATCATAAAAAAGTGTCATTTATTCTACTCTCTTATATTATTATTATTATTATTATTATGAGCAGTGTTTTAAAAATCGGCTTGGGCCGGCCGAGTAGACTCGGGTTTCGGTGACTTGGTGGGATCCCTGATCCGAGTGGTCATTTGGATCGGTTTTGTAGTCAATCCGGTTTGGACCGGTTGACCCGGCTGAAACCCGACGACTCGGTTGACCTCTTTGTTTTTGGTAATATTTTTTTTTGATTGATGAGAACTCTTGAATTAAATCATGTTTATATTTTGTGGTAAATATGGTTAAAAAGTAAGGTGATAATAAGAAGGTATTTTGGATTAGTGCAGTTCGGTTATGTAATTTAGTTGTATCTTATAATGATCTCAAGAAGTTAAGTGGAGATAAACACTGATGGTCTCATCTCAACGGTGGACACTTTCTCCCAAGTGTATATTTCATGCCTACTATTTGTTATCATGATTTAATTTATCCGTGTTATATCAAGGTACAAAAGGTGCATTTAGCTTACATTGCAATTTTAATCAAATATTAGGATATGGTCTAGAGCAAGAAGTTTAGAAGTATATAATATTTGCTATCATTGAGAACTAATTTATTTTTTGAAGCTCATTGATAGTTTTTTTATGTGAATTTTTAATATAAGTAATATGTTTATATTTTTTTAATATGTAAACAGTAAATCCAGTTGAACCCGAATAAACCAATGATCCAGTGATTCAACACCTCGATCGAGTCAATGGAGTTTTAAAATACTGTTTATGAGTCACAAACTCACTTATTAATAGACTAATATTTTTTGGCGCGTGCAATAAACCTCCATGATAGAGCGTGATCAACTTCTTTCCTCTTCTCCTAGCAGAGCCAGCGTGACCTCCGTTTACCAGAAACCAAAACCGAGCAAACTCGTCAACCGTCACTATTACAAAATCTTAGAAACAAAAATCTATGCTCCAAACCCAAATCCGAAACCATAATTTATTATTATTATTGATTATTGATTATTGATTAGTACAATATAAGCTACATTTGGTGCAATCACTATGCTGGTGAAGGCATCTTTTTACTTCTAAAATTGCATTTGGTGACCAATTAAGTCGTTGGTCTTTCGCTTTCTATATCTGATCAAGTTCCCTCTTGAACCGCTTGTTCTTGCTTTTTGACTCCATCTGAAGCAACCCATCATTTTTCCCCTCTTTCTTAAGCTATTTGCTATGGTGGGTCTTTGTTTATTCCACTGGATTCCTTCTAATCAGCTTCAACTGAGAAGTGGGTTGTTGAATTTGAGTTGAACTTTTTGGAATTTGATATGGTTTCCACTGAAAGGTTGGAGCTTTGGTTGTTTAAGAGGAGGAAGGTTCTGGGAATTTTGTTCCAGATTGTATTTGGATGGTGGGTTGTTCTACTGTTTCTTCGTCCTGTGGTGGGTCTCAGACCCTTGAGGGATAGAACTCGGTCCTCGGGTGATGAGGTTTGCTTAAGAACTTGTCTTTATTATTTTTTAATTGACTATGGTAATTGGGGATGCATATAATAATCATTTTGTGCTTCCATTCTAATTATTATCAGTTAAGTTGCCATGGCTTTATGAAGTTGTCAAAGTAGAAACTAGAAACACGAAATTTTAAGTTTAATGTCACTGTTAAAAGATGATAAGTGTTAATTTAATGTATTTAGAATGTTTAACATAGGAAGAAGAGAGATAGGCGTTAATTGAATATGTTTAGAATGTTTATTACTAACTTAATGTGCTTATATGTTATCATAGATCTGTTTATTGAACTTCCAACAATCAGCAATCATAATTGGCAATGGGCATTTCGCTTCCCAGTTTTGCAGTTGCGCACATTATCAGAACCTGTACTGAAAGTAGCTGAAGCACATCTAATCTTCAAATGGAAAAAAATTATAATTTGCAATTAGGTTTTTTGTAAAGGACACCATGACTTGTTACGTGGCTTTTACTGATTTGTTGGTACCTCTAAGGAATTTCACTCGATCATAGGACATTAGCCTTTGGCATTACTAATATTTAACTTTTGTAAAACACTGGCTTATGATTAAAAATGATTTTAATTGATAAATTGTGAATGCTATGATTGAGGCAAAGTCTGACTGAAGGAGAACTCATCTATTTGTCTGTTATTGATATTGCTTCTCTCAGTGGCTATTTACAAGAAAAGACGAGAGTGACTTAGGTCCATTTTCACAATGGAATATAACAGGAACTTACAGAGGTTTGTATTCTTTACTGACCTAGGTGTATGCTTTGTGCAGTATTGCTGAGCGTATGCGTCATGCATGGTTTGATACTTTGATGTCTATTAACAGGATTTTTTATTGGATAGCAAAGTAAATCAAAGCCCCAGAGTTACTGCTTTACAATATCATGACATGAAAGTTTTTCTTTTGTGTGACTGCTTGATCTTTTGTGAAAAAGTTCATGCTTTAATTGTCCTTTTTTTAGTACAAAACGTGTCTAATTAATATGCTTCTTACCTTTGGACAGATAATTTACTGGCAAAGGGAGGAGCATCCATGTAAACTAGGATGCTTGCTCCCATGAATTAACTAAATAAACTTAAGGCATTTGGACAGATCATGTAATTTTAAAAATAATTTTGTGCAATTTACTGAAATATGCTTCAATTCTAAATGGTTTCTGTTATGTTTGAATAAACTTACTTTGTTCATTTATTGTTTAATGAGTTTGTAAGTTTGTCAAAGTCTGAGGATGTTTGTATGTTGACCTCTTGAAATGCAGGGTCTTGGAAGTTTTTAGATACCACAAATGGATCTTCCAGGTTTCCAGATATCAGAAAAACAAATGGCAATTCCTTAATTGAATTAGTTAGTACGCCCACAAAGATAACTGGAGTACATTATGTCCAGGTGAGATGTTGAACTGTTTAGCTAATTTCGGAGGAATTCAGCTTACGTATGTAATATAGTTTCTTATTTGTTCTATTATAGAGTTTAAAATTTTAATTATTTATTTATGTTAATATGTATTGGAAATAATAATGGATTCTGCTGTTGCTTAAAGCTAGTGAAGATCCAATGAAACTTGTCCTCTTGATATACTGAAGAATTGTGCCAAACATCTCACTTCATTCTGTTTTTCCGTGCCACATTTATGTTTTCATTTTCAATTAGTTCAAGATTTGTTCTTAAGTTGTTATCACTCTGGCTTCATTTAAGGATTTTAAACTGTAGTTTCTACCATTGAAAAGTCAGCATGTGCGTTTTGTATTAGGTTGGCCGTATGTGGATTCTTAGATGTTTTTATTAAATGGAGGGGGAATGGGATAATGTATGATTGAAGCTCTTCCTTAATAACTCAAACTTTAAGAAGGTTGACTGTGATAAGCATTGTCTATCTATCTGTTTTCTTAATGATGGCAGTTCTGATGATAATGAACTTTGTACGCTACACTTGTTTGGAATTACTCGTAAAATTGATGCTGCAAGTGTTCACATGCATTTGGTGGATAGTAACATTACATTTATGATTTGTCTCTACTTTCTAGCTTCTCATCTTCCTTCTCTTTCTTCGTCTCCATAACTCTCTTTTGTGTGTGTGCGCGCGCGCGTAAGAAAGTGAGTGAGAGCATTTATTTGTGTTTTTTTTTAATATGCTTGATAAACACTTATATCAATATCAACATCAACAAAAACATTTATTCTAAACTAGTTGAGGTTGACAGTCAATGAACCCAAATAAAATGCAAGAAAAGATTGAGGGAAAAAGAAAAAAAGGAAAATGAAAAAATAATAGTAATAGTAATAAATAATAAAATAAAAATAAAAAATAAGAGAGAAAAATAAATAAGAACTTGTTATTTGGATTAGAAGAATAATGATAAACACTTCAACATCAACATCAACAACACCTTTATCCCAAATTAATTGGAGTAGGTGGTAGGTGAACTCAAATAAAAAGTACAGAAAGATTGAGGAAAAAGAGAGAGGAAATGATAAATACTTATATACTAAAAAAGAAAAGAACTTGTTACTCAGTTAATGGAATGCTTTAATTGTTGCACATCAACAGTTCAAAATCAAACTCATCTAATGGTCCTTGCCCGTCACATGAAACTGTCTTATGCTATAAGACTCTGTTCTGTTGGTATAGTAAGGTTTTAGACATATTTGGACAAGTATCTGTTTTCATATTTCAGGGTTAGAGAGGCTTCTAATCTGTAGAGGTCCTAAACCTTTCAGGGATCATATTGTGTACTGAGTCTGTCTCTGTTGCTGAATCAAGTGTATTTTTTCCATCTACTTTTCATTCTTCTAATATATGGGCATATGCATAGCATAATTTAATCTAGTACTGAACACCATATATTGGATATCATGAGGCAATATTTTACCCTTCCATCTCGATATAGAATAATAATATCACTATATTAGTGAAAAAATTTAGTTCAGTCACGTCAATCCTTATTACTGTTTCAGTAAAATACTTATTATTCTTCTATAAAACTTAATTCCTCTTTTTCTTGCTTTTTGTTGTTAGGGGGTAGTTATATTCCATGATGTGTTTGAGAATGAATACGATGTTGGTGGTGCTCAAATCAGAGTAGAAGGTGTGTATATATGGCCTTTTAGACAGCTTCGAATGGTAGCCAACAGGTAAATTTCATGGATATCATCAATAGGATGTGCAGATCAAGTTCATATTGAGATCAAGTTGTTTAAAATTTTAAATTTCTTTTCGTCCTAAATTGGCATTTCATCTTAATCAGTTCTTTAATTCTCTGTTGTACTCGTTCAACTGTTTATTCTATAGTCAAATCCTGCTTGCAATGAAATACTGATATTTCCTTGGAGTAAAGCGTACAATACCTGAATGTGCTGAAGAGTTTCTTTTGTTTCCTCCTTTTGCAGTGGAAAAGAGGGAGAGTTAAATCAGGATGAAGATTATATTTTATCAAATCCATATCATCTGGTAACAATCTTTCTTGATATATATCCTTGATCATGTACATTTTATACTCTGATTATATAGCATACAATATTCTTAATTAACAACATGTCTGATTTTGGTGGTAAATTTTGTTTCTGTTGTTTAAACATGTTCATTAGTCTGTATAATTGATATTTCAGTGAGAATGAATAGCTTCTATCCAAATTGTTATTTGTTTTCATGGGCTTGATTTTATATAGTGTCATGAGTTTGCCAGTTAATGCTAATCTTTGCTGTGTTGGCGTAATCATACTTTCTGTATAACATTTGAAGCTGGAAGTCAATATATTGTATATGTTGTAATACATGCCTTCCAAGGTTGTATGATATTCTCTAATAAGATTCTCATCATTTGAAGTGTAATCTTTCAGTTTAAGTGACCATATTCAAATTTTTCAATGTTAGAATCCTTTATTATCCCCTCAAAAACTTGCTTAAGACCATATTTGGGTTCTTTAAAGCAGGACATGGATGTAATTACGTAAGTTATACAGTTTTGTATCATTTAAACAGATTAATTTGAGGATTAGCAGGTCCTTATTTTGGTTATGTGACTGTAAAGAAATTGGTCTTTCTAAGTGGGGTTTCCTTAACAAATATGCAGAGGGATTGGCAACTTTGCTCCATTGTTATTTTCTCTTTTTCACTGTTAGTTTATTTTCCCTTGTTTCACTTTGGAAGATTCCTTATGCCCCCAGTTACTTGTACTTTTCTCCTCTTCATCTTAACAAATTTCTTTATTTATAAAGGAAAAAAAGTGAGCATTCAGAATACTTATTTGTTACATATATGGCTTTCTGTACACAGCTTGGAGTTTTCTCTTCTCAGGTACTGCCAGATTCTTCGCGAGATAAGATGTGGAGAAGAAAACATTGTAATTTATCTAACATAGTAGTATTCTTTGAAGGGATTCCCTCCCTCACCCGACCCCCTTTTTTGTGTAAATGTTGTAGTTGTACCATTGACTTGCTATTTTTTCCCTAACTGCAGCCCTGATGCAAGACATGGAGAAACATTGTAATATTGAAATTGCTGCACAGGTTTCACACTTGCCATCATCAAAAAATGGTACTTGTTTCTCTCAGCACATGAATACTTTCTGCTCCTTTACGTTTTTCTCTGCCTCAATGAACCTGTTGACTGTTTCAAAGCCTTCTTTTTGGTATTCTTTCCATTCTACAAAGGAGTCTTTGTCAGACAAAAAGAAGGGTTGGAGAGCTCTTCTACACTGATTATTTTCTCTTTTTTTGTATTGTTTAGCAGGATTGCTTATCCTCCTTTCTTTGTGTACTCTTTCCCTTTTCTAGTAATATGACTTCTTTTATAATTTTATCTTTAGTGTCCATGGTGGAATGCCAATGTGAAACTTATGATCACATTTAATGTTACCAATTGCTTATATTAAATGCATATAAATTGTAGAAGAATTACATGTACATTACTATTTGAGTCTTCACCATTTTTATATTGATTGAGTGCTTTCTTGTTGTTGATGAAAAAAATCATATTTTTGCCCGTATGATTTACCAAATGTTATATTACTTTTTATAGAAGGCGAGCATGATCAGTTTCATTTAGAAGGGTTAATGGAGAGTCCCTCTGCTGATGATGATGGGGACTGCTTCTCACCATTACTACTAAATGCAACTTCTGTTAGAATTGAGGTCTACTATAACAAAGCAGTGAACTATACCTTGATGGTTACTTTTGTATCCTTCAATCATGGATATTCTTACAGCTTTATGACTCTTTTATTTTCCATTACGGTATGGGCTCCTTAATGTACATATACCAGATATCTTTCTTGCAAGTTCTTCTATTGATTCGTCAAATGGAGCATAGCAGCACTCAATCTGTAAGAATTTACCTTAAGAGTTTAATTTGAAATTTCACTTACCATAGAGTTAATGAATGGAATTAATATAAATTTTTTCAATATTTGGATAAATGTACCAAACATTATTTGAAAGTCCACGTCATATATTTCTTAATTTCATTATAATTTATAATATTATCATAGAAAATTAATATGATTCAGATATACCTTTACAGGGGGCTGCTAAGGTTTCAATATTAATGATTGGCCAGCAAGCAATAATGGATGCATATCTTTGTCTTTTACATCTGACTGCGGGAATACTGGTTGGTAAGTTAGAAATTTTCACAACTTGAGATTGCTCTGCAGGCTTTTCTCACTCCCCTCCCAAACATATCTGTGTTATGTTTTTAGACGCTGAAGTACCAGTTTTGGGATGAGATAAATATATCAAAAGGTCCTTTCTAATTGGAAAAAAGGCCTCGAGAACCCAATCCAATTGCAAATGGAAATTTATACTTGGATGGTCAGAACCTGGACACTCTGCCTACACTTTTTATACTGATTTGCACCTTTTAGCCAAATCTTATTCCCTGTAATTCCATCAAAATGTCACTCTTTTCTAGTCTAAACCTTACGATGTACAACATCTAATCCCAAGAGCACTCCAGAAATTTATAGTATTCAGGTTTCTTAAATCTGTTCCGTGTCAAAAGATCAATTTTTTTATGGGGGCATCATAATGGGCGAAGAAGATTATTAATATATTTGTTGAAAACACAGTGCTATCTTTTCATATTCATTGTAATATGGCTTTATCATTGTTGCAATGGGTGGGACTTCAGTTACTAATTATCTTCTTTAGTAATAATAAGATTGTTAATAATAAGATTGTTGGCTGAATAATTGTTGCTGCTTCCTGCCATGCAGAATCCTTGTTTAATGCTTTTGCAACTGCTGCATTTTTCAAGTTTGTGGTTTTCTCAATATTTGAGATGAGATATCTCCTTGCCATCTGGAAGGCAAATAGGCCTTTGAGTAATGGGGAAGGTTGGGAGACAATGAGGCGTGAACTTTCAGTTTTATACAGTCGTTTCTGTAAGTACTCATTTAGAATTGAATGTTCTGTCTGCTAAATGATTGTGTGATCTCATCAACATGAGTTTGTGGATTCATAATCAATTTAAGTTATTTCCTGAGATGTTAAGCTTTGATAGTCACTCTACTACGTAGGAGCCGGTCAGCTACTCAGCTTTGAGTTAAAACTATATTTATTTCTGTTTTACTGATCAATATTCAACTCCATCTTTTCAGTTTATTGTTGTTATCTGGAAAGGAAAACCATGATGCTTACTTGAAAATATTATGTGGACAACTAAAAATGGAGTAACTGCATGTTGATTGTCGCCATTTGAATTGCTCTCTAAAATGCTGTTAACTATGAATTTCACATAGTTTTTAATATATTTTCTTTTGGGCCAACATAAACCTGTGAACTTACAGCATTGTATTAGCTGAGGATCACCATGTTAAAAATAAGAGTTACAGAATGGAAAATATCTCAGTGTAGTAAATATATATATTATCATTTGAGCTAGTCCTATTTTGTATCTTAGATTCTTAGAGTGTCCATATCCAAAAAATTTCTAACACACTCTTCTGTTGAAGATTGCCGGAGAACTCTAGCTATATGTTTCCTGTTGTTTCGACTTATGGAAAAAATTCCTTGTATGAAAAAGAGGATTTCAAATTTAACTATTTAACTTCTTTTGCAGATGGGATCCTGTTGGGAGGCATTCTACTCATGTATGAGTTCCATAATTATTTGAGACCTATTCTTCTTCTTATGTACTCCTTTTGGATACCTCAGATAATCACCAATGTCATTCGTGATTCACGCAAACCACTGCATCCTCATTATATCTTAGGGATAACTGTTACTCGGCTAGCAATCCCATTTTATATTTTTGGTTGCCCTAACAACTTCATGCGCATAGAACCAGACAAGAGCTGGTGTGCTTGTTTGGCTGTATTTATTTGGCTTCAAGCAGCAATTCTTCTGCTTCAGCACTATCTTGGGTCGCGATTTTTCATTCCTCATCAGGTTGGGCCCAACTGTCTTCACAATACTTTCTAACCACTGATCCATTCAGAATCCTTAAATCTAATTGGCCTTTATGAAAGACGTAGTTTTAACGAAGCACAATAGCATAATTTGATTCATATAGTTGACCCCGGCTAGTGGGGTTGTATATTTTCGTTGTCCCTGAGTTTCAGTTAATCATTTGATGCATTTCATAGACATTCTACTTGTATGAGCTCTATTCTCATCTTTGGTAATTTTGCTCCATAGTATTGATGATCAATTTTTTTCCTTAATTTGATCACGAGCATGATTGTGTGGTAAAGATGGACAATAACATTGTTATCCTCATTGTTTAGGATTATGAGCTATTGACCACTGCCTCTAGCTTTTCCTAACAGAACTTAAATCATGATAGAGCATGATACTTTTTTCTGAATTTGCATGAATGCTTCTCTCTAAGTGTAAGTTTATCTTCATGATTTACAGATCCTACCCGAGAAATACAGCTATTATAGGAGGTTTGATCAGGGTACAAGACATTCTACAGATTGTGTTATTTGCATGACAACCATTGATCTTTCCCAAAGATCTAATGATTGCATGGTATGTGAATATGAAAATAACCTTTGTCTATTTGAAGTAAACTTCAAAATATGGATTAAGTCTAATGCAGAGAGACTCTGACACAGGTGACACCTTGTGATCATTTCTTCCATTCTGGTTGTTTGCAAAGATGGATGGATATAAAGATGGAGTGTCCAACTTGCCGTCGCCCACTACCACCTGCATGAAGAGCTTTTCACTGTTTATGTCAATAGGATCAACTAACCCTCCTTCAACTTGATAGTTTAACTAATATGCTTAATGGCATCCTAGTTTTACTTAGTTTTGCTTTTAATATTACAAGAGATAAATGAAATCACACGGACTTTGGTGGTCACTTTTTTTTTTTCCCTGATGTTGAGGACTGGAGGTTTCTTATTCTCATAGACCTTATTCCAGATGCTAAGAGTATGGTTTTTGTACATATTTTGGAAAGGCAACGAACGCAATTGTAATTTTTTTTTTCTTCTAAATATGAATATATTTTTATTGTTTTTTCCTTTGTGATTGTCCAAAAATTGAAATTGATATTCATTTATGGGAATTACTTTTTTCATGTTACATAAACAAAATATTATCTCTTACACTCACATTTCTCAAATGGGTCCCACAAGATTTTTTCTCTCTCACCTTTAACTTTTTTCTCTCTCCTACTTTTTGTTTGAGCATGAGATAGTACTTCTCTTAAGAAGTATTACCCTTCATTTATAGTCTTTTTCCTTTACTCTCTTGCCTTATCTTTTGAGTTCAACAACAATCGTTAACATGATTTCAATTTAAGCTCGTGATTAGTTTACATTTTTTTTTAATTAAAAAAAAATGGCTTCTTATGCTTATCAGGTTGGTTAGAATCCATATTCAGTACAATCGCACCTGAAACACAATTCCTTATCTTCTCATAATTTTGAATCAAGCGGCATTGGTTTGCAGGTGATTATTTCAGTATTTTTAATGATTATTTATCCAAAATTTTGTGAATTACATATTCAACAACAGATGATAATTTTTTGAATACCATCCTTGGCTAACAGTGCATAAGTTACCCAAAATAGTTATTAGTGTCTTCTATGATGAAACTGGTGGGCTCTAATCAAAACCTGTGCCTACGGACAGTAACAGTAATATGATGGAAAACTGGTGTGACAACTTTGTTGAAGGCAAGCAACAGGCTCGGACTGAATATTGGATCTTGCGCTTTGCCTTTCTTCTCTAGAATTTCGGTATTAAAAGTAGGGATTAATAGTTTTCAAAAAAAATAAAATAAAAAAAATAGGAATTAATATTTCTCATAAATAATTTTACCTTCTATATACACATAAAAGTGTACAAAATTCATATATTTTCTTTCTTTCTTCTTTTCACATAGTCCTATATGGACTCCATACACTTTTATATTTATATAAAAAATAATTTTATTTTCTACGAAAAATAATCCCTTTGAATTCTCCTTTGAATGGCAGAAGAATTATGAAATGGCAGAAGAATTTTCCTTTGAATTCTATCAACTAAGACTTTACTCTTATCAATAGCTCACTTCCCTATAGTCTTTCACCAAGTTTTGCAACACAACAATATCACTCATATGTCCCAAATTAAGCTGTTCCAAATGAGACAACCCTGCAAGGCTGTATGTTATGGGGCCCCAACAATTTTGTTAAATCTTACATCCATCTAACACTCCTGATCTGTAGAAAAACCAAAGTTACGGCGTCTGATAATAATGCAAAGAGATTTGAACATCGAAAACAAATGTAACTTACGTTGGTAACACATTCCAACCAAACATGAAGGTAATACAGTATTCTTATTTCGACCAAAGGGTCTAAAAAACTACACGGTTTATAAGCTCAAGACATGTAACAACCAACTATAATTCAAAGTCTGCAAAACTATGATATCTAAATATAAGGCCCCTACATTCTGGGAAACCTCAAAACCACTATTTTTCATCCAAATTATTTAACCCAAGGGGGTATCAACATAATTGCCCCAGATAGTTTTCGTCATAATTATCTGTATCTTAACCTCCACCAGAACCATATTTCTTTCCGAACAAAACGAGCTGTAGCTTATCATAACCAGCAAGCACCCCAGCACCTGCAACAGCACGTAATATGTTTGCACCAGCACCTTTGAAGAGTGACTTAGTACCCTCTTTTGCAACGATTTGATTAAATGCATCTAAAGAGCTCTTGTATTTTACAGCTTCTCCAGATGTCATCATCATCCTTCTACGCACAGTATCAATGGGGTACGAGGCCAAGCCAGCACCTATGGTGATCGCCCATCCCAAAAGGAAACTTGCAAAGAAACTATCCTGTTAACAAGAAAAGTAACTAAGGTAAGTAAACATAAAATCAGATCATGATGAAATTAAGAAAAGGGGAGAAAGGCAAATTTTACAAGAACAATATTCCTAGGTTCGATTAAGTTTGGTATTCATATTGAATAGCATAATTAAATATGATTAGGTCCAACATAAATATGGAGGAGCCGCAAAATCATAAGCATTCATGCAGCACGTACATTTAGCTAAAGTATTTGTATCATAGAATATAAGACCTAAAAAGCATAAATCCAAAGGAAACTGAGATGAAGATGAGTTGTTTATCCACACATTACGACTGACCAGATTTCAAATTCAAATTTTGTATGTACCTGCAATCCACCAACCAAAACCACTGGTTTCAGAGAATCATACATCCCAAAGTAAAGACCACGATACACTATAATTCCAACACATGAGATGTTGAATCCACGATAAAGGCCAGCAATACCATCACTCTTAATGGTTTTCTTGTATACATCAATCAAACCATTGAACTGCCTCTCACCACCCGTCTTTGCAGCCTTTGCATCATTTGCTAAACGTGTACGGGCAAAGTCCAAAGAATAGACAAATAAGAGGGAGGAAGCCCCAGCAGCCCCACCAGATGCCAAATTCCCAGCAAACCACTTCCAGTAGCCATCCTTATCTTTCTTGAAGTTGAAAAGCCTCTTGAAGTAATCCTTAAAAGCGAAGTTCAGAGCCTGAAAGGAAAAGAAAGAAATTAAAGTTGCAGAAATAACATATAGAAACCGCGGACCAAACAGTCAAACACCAAATATACATTTACATTGATCACACCACAATTAAATGGTTACTGTATCTCTTGTAGAGGATGCAAATACAAGAGAGCTAGCCATGGCTATATATTATCTAAAATCCTTTTCCTCATCAAATATTAGCAACTCTGAAAATAAAAGAAAGCTTTGACAACTACACTTAAAAAGACAAAAAAATAACAAATATGCAGAGACATTGGGTTAAATGTGGATTTATGCAAATAATAATAATAATAACACAGAACAGATCAAGGGTAAATATAACAGTATGGTATAGGTGAATTACAAATGAAAGTAAAGAGACATTGCAGAAGTACATAATCACGCATTGACAGTCAAAGCAATAAAACAGATCTTACATGCTTAATATTAAATCACATTAGACAAGCTCGTCATATTAAACTTCAGAGGAAAGAAAAATCACCTGAGTAGGGAAGTATCTGATAACATTGGCAGTATTTCCTCTCCAAAGAGCAATCACTCCTTCATCCTTCATGGTTCGAGCAAAACAATCACCAATTCCCTTATACGGTTCAGATAACCGACCACTCTTGATCATTTCATCCTGGTTTTGAATGAGCAATTTAACACGCTCAATTGGAGCCGCAGCTGTCTTAGACACGGCAGCTGACACTCCTCCCATGAGAAAATCCACAAAAAATGAAGATACCCCTTTCCCTTTCTCTGCCGGGGCGTGCACGGTAATTGGAGATACAGGCGATACAATCCCCACCAAACCTGAAGACTGCACGCCTCCATTGAAGCAAGCACCAGCCGAAGAATAGTTTCCGGAGTGATTAGGGGTGAGCCTGGACATAAGATAAGATTTCCCAGCTAACTTATGAACTACCGATGGATGCTTCGAATGCAATCCATCCGCCATGACTGCAGTTTAGTCGCAGTGACCTATCAACATTTATCCATAAGTCATACCAATGGTAACAGGAGAAAACAAAAAAAAACAGAATAGCCTTGCAGTTGCAGTGCTTCACACACTTATTCGCATACCTGGCATAGATTTTTGGGAAAATAATAGCTTCTTTTTCAAAGAAGCTCTCTCAATAAATTTTTTTGAATACAAAATAAGATGATCCAAACACACAATTAGCCTATGCATATACTATATACATGATATTATATACAAATTCCACATCATCACAGAACTAAACTGTAGCAGAATGCAGGAATTTTATGAAGCGTTAAGAAACTATGGTCACAAAATATAGAAAATTTTATCTCTCTAACAAAATTCACTACAGTTTCCGATTCTAATTCATTGCCACACTCAGATAGTACAAATCAAGTCAAACATTAAAAAGAGAAAAATGATAAATGAATAGCTTAAGTTTTGCAAGTTGAAGAAAATTGAACACCGCTAAAATTCATACATGAACTAACTAACTAACTAAAAAGGGAAAATCATCACAAGAAGCAACAGAAAAAAAAAAAAAACACTGATCTAGTAAGGCCAGTAGCAAAATCTGCGTTAGATCCCAAAATAAAAACAAAAAAGACAAGAAAAACAATTGCAGATCTTAAAAGAGAAAGAAGAAGTTAAAAGTTAAAACAGTGTTGTTTGTGAGAATGGAAGAGAAAGATACCCGAAAAGGGCGCGAGAGAAGCTTCTCTTCTTCTCTTCCTCAGATCGTGGATGGGAAAGAAATGAGACTCATAGCATAAAACTAGGGTTTTAGTTAATGACTATTTTACCCTTCCCTGTCGCTAACTACCAAAATTTTTTACTACTAGCTTACTACCCATCACATCATCATTGGATTAAAGAGAGAGAAAATGTTAGTCTAATGGTGATTGAGAGTGGATCCTCTAATGTAGAAAAGTGGTCAAGTGATCGTGTTATTTGATCACAACCATTCATTTAAAAATTATACAATTTTCTTTCTCTTATCTCATCATCAATGAATGGTTGTGATCAAATAACATGACCACATGACCACTTTTTCACATGAGAGGATCCACTCTCATGGTGATTGGTGATTAGATAGGTAATAAGTTGGTAGTGGAAAATTTTGGTAGTGAAAATATCTCTCATCTTTAACTTTTTTATTATATATATTTGAAAATAAAAATACTAAACATTTTTTGGATTATCAATGTATGAAATGTTTTATTTTTTAAATGTTTTTCTGTTATTGTTTCCATGACGAAGAGCCTAAAAACTAAAAAATGTTTGGTATGGAATGATGAGAAAATGGGGTGGGAAATATTTATTTACCATATTTGGTATGAGTATTGTGAACAAAATGCTAGAATTTTTTTTTCCCAGTATTTTCCTTTTGAACTACATAAAGGCAAAAAAATTATGTCACTCACCCTTTGGTATTTTTTTTTTCCATGGTCTTGGATTCTGAAAAAAAATGAACGTTTGATTCACTTTTTCTTAAAAAAAGGAACGTTGGGTGATGACTCACTTTTCATATTCAAAAAAGTAAGGGTATTTGGTAATTTTGATTTACATTCCCATCAATATTTTATCATAAATCAAACATTGCATCAATAAAATTAACCTAACTTTTTTGGCAAAATTTTGGCCAACCAAACGCTTTTTCGTAACTTACCCGAGATAAAAAATTCTTACCAAATCCCCAACAATCTTTTTTTTGGGTAAAAAAATATCTCTCATACCAAACGTCTTGTATATTAACTTGATAATTCTTGAGCAAGATAAAAATTAATATAAAATTGTATTATTATTACTAGTAGGTTGTGTAAACAGGTTACCTAAGCCCCACTTAAATCATTTAGTTTGCAATTTAATTTATTTCTTTTTCTTTTTGTTTACGGTGTCTTCGGACAGACCCTGAAATCTAGAGGATTGATTAAAGAGATTAGTGTTTTTATTGTAGGAGATAATTTTATTTCTTATACATATATAAAACTGTGTGAAATTTATATTTTCTTTTTCTCTCTTTTCTATTCAGATGACCCCGCATGGATTTCCATATACTTTTATATATATATATATATATATATATATATATATATATAAGAGATATTTTATCTCCTACAATATAAGAAAAACTAATCTTTTATCAAATTGGGAAATGAGAATAATTTATAAAATTGTAGATTAATGTATAGCATTTGGGCTTGTGAGGCTTGGTCCACGAGGAAGATGTCTGAAGAAATTATTTGAGTCTTTAACTTAAAATACTGTTTTATTCACACGTAAAACTCTGTTTTGTTTTGTTTGTGAAAAAAATGTTTGTCCTTTTAAATGATATAACTTATATTATTTAACTTTTAAAAAGAGGTGAGACTCGTACCTTTATTTTTTTTAGTCCACTCTCTTTTCCCCTTTATCTATCTCTTTCTTTCACTTAAAATGACATAACTTTACATCCTTTAAAAGGACACACACTTTTTTCTTTGTTTATCTACCAAAAAATAAAATAACACTCTGTTTTGTTTTGTTTATACAGCAGTGTTGTTTGTAGGAAAGTGTTTTACAGTAACCCTAAAGCTCAAAAATACACAAAATGATTATAAAAAAACAGTGTTGTTCACTAAATTGTTTATCATAGGTTGATAACATTTTTATGAAAAAAAAAATAACTCATTAAAAAAAACTACTGTTTATTTCATGCAAATCATAAACTACCCTTACTAAAACTAGCAATATTGCTCATCTAACACGTCGATATGACAGCAATCGAATTCTTTCAAAGATTTGGCAGATGTTCGAATTAGTTATAAATAAATTAGATAAAAAAAATTAATTATACCTACCAATGTTTTTTAAGAAAAAAAATTATTATGACAAACTGATGTATGTTTGAATATGTTAATTACAAGTGATTTTTAATAAGTATGTTTTATTTAGAATATTTAATAAAAACTATTCGTACGGAATAAATTATTAAAATAAGTCTAAAATCACTTTGAAACTCAAGTGATTTGAGCTTGGGAGTTAGGACATTCACAATAGAGAAAGAATATGCCATCCTTCATTTCTTTATTCTTTTTTGGACCCCACTCGGAACCCGTCGACTACATTCTACGAAATGAGACTATGTTTTAGAAAAAATAAAAATAAAAACTCAAAATTATATCCAAAAAAATGCTTAAATATTTTGAGCTTATTAAAAGACAGATATTTTAGACAAGTTTGGATGGACTTTTAAAAAAATAATTTTTATGGCTTATTTTTTAAAATAATTTTTTCAAAAAATTAAAACTATTTTATGTTTCGATAAAATATATAAAAATTATTTTGATGTTAAAATTTACGAGCACTTTTTATTTATAAATATACTCAAAATGATATTTGATACTAGTGGTGATAGTGGGTTGGAGTGATTATATTGGAATTTGAGTAAAATTGAATTTTCAAAAACAATATAACTTTTGACTTTTATTTTTTTAAAGAAAAGAATCTTGACTTTAAAAAAAGTATTATTTTTAAAAAATTGCTATCCGATCCAATCGCATAAAATTACTCAAAAAGTTTTTTATTTAAAAAAAAAAAGCAATATTTCTATTAGAAAAAACCTATCCAAACACACACTTAAAGTGTGTGAAATTTTGTACAACAACTTTTTTTTATTTGGCTAAACATGCAGTCCAAAGAGGAAAGTAAAAATCCTTTTTTCATGTGAAAAGATATTTTGAAAAATAATTAAGCAAAGCTAGATACACAATTAATGATTCCATGTAATTTTTCATTTAATTAAAAAAAATAGAGCTTCAATTATAAAAAATACTTTTTAAAGAACCAGTATAAAAGTACCATATATTTTCTCAAGAACTTGAACACCTAAATATAATTTAAGCCTTACTGAAAACGTGTGAATTCCTTTTTCTAGAAACATAAATATTCAAACCAAAAGAAATGAAACTTTATCAAAGAAGTTGGTTCAAGTGATACATGCTTAATTTCGTTTAAATAAGATCTTAGGCTCATGTCCTTGTAAATGTGGATATTTTTGGCTTGAACACTTTTGTCTCCCCTATGGAGGATACATGTAGTTTATGAAAGAATTATTATTCCTAGATAATTTATATAATTATAAAATATCCAAATAATAAGAAGTCAAAGTTATGATTGTGCATACCTTATTTGGCGATTCAAAGCTGGAGGAAAGGGAGGACTGCATGTCCGAATTTTTCTTTTTATGACCTATTCCGAAAGTGACAATCTTAGTGCGATAGGAGCATGATAGCTATCAGCGTATAACCCTAGTATATATAGGCTAGAGAGGGGACTTAATAAAACCCTAATCAACAGTGTGTTAGAATGGTCCACCATCACAGAAGTCCAATCAGACACCAGTGCCTACACTGTGTTGCCCAACTAGACCCGATATCAATAGATGCCAAAAGCCAACTCAACATAATTACAACGGGCTTATCATAACAGATTAAATTGAAATATCCGGTAACCCAAATATTTTAAGAAATACAAAAACATTGAATAAGATCTTAGGTTCAAGTGCTTGTAAATGTGGATTTTTCTGACTTGAACATGTTTGTCTCCCCAGTGGAGTATACATGTATTTTATAAAAAACTAAAACTAAAACTTTTACCTAACATGTTCCATCCTATTTGAGGAGCAAAGTTTGTGTGCTCCGAAGCAAATTTTTTTTTTAGGGATTAAGGTAAGAGAAAAAGAGAAAAGATTGAGGAGAGAGGATAAAGAAGAAAGAATTTTTTTTTTTTTATTCATATGTCAATTTTTTAGTGGAAGGACCACTATGTCAATTTCTTGGACCATATTAAAAAATTTCCTATTTGAGAGCTTTCCAATTCCCATAAAATAACTCTACTGGGGCGTTTGGTACAGGAGAAATTTTTATTTGTCCGGGAATCTCAATTTTCAAAAATATGATTTTTACATTCAGTTTACCATAATATCCGGAAATTTAAAATTTAGAAAAATTCAGTTTCCCGGGAATCCGGCCAAATGCCGTGTACCAAACGCCCCCTACGGGTGTTTCTTGATCGTCGGCAGTAATGTTACCCTATGGCCATTGCAACCTCGAGTAGCCGCAATTACTACCAACATCCATGATAAAGTGAGAATAATAGTGTTGTCACATTGAAAAATACAGCAAAATGGCCAACAAGTTCAAGCCACAAACTTGTTAATGGGAGGCATCTATATCTCTAGCAGCACTCGAAGTTTGGGCAAGCTTCTTGCCTATTGCACTCACTTTTTTTACGTGCTCATTTTTTTGTTACAAACATGAGAATTACTATGATTATGCATGCACATATATAAAATCTCTGTTTGGAACCTTAATTTGTAAATGGAGAAGCGGAATGTGACGGACCTCCTCCAACCTCAGAATTTCCCCAAATGTTTAATCATCTAAAATTTTCATATATAAAATATTTCTTAAAAAAATCCGATCTCTTTATTTTTAACTTGCTCATATAAGCTTGCATTTAATGTTAGGTACTTAGGCGTAGATGTTTTGCTTAAGATGGCGTTTGGTATAATAAATGTTTTATCCTCAATTAGACTATTTTTTTGAAAATCTCATTTACGGAAATAAGATTGATTGAAAAGTTGATATAATATGTTTACTTACCATTTTTTTGGAAATAATATATTGCATTCTCGAAAAAGTTTCATTACATATTTGGTCAAGGTGTTCTCAAGAATATAATTAACTTTTTAAAAGTACCCAACATCTTCGAGGAAAGACTAAACAAATGTGAGAGACATAGTATCACATAGCTTACAATAAAGAAAAAACTAAAACTTTGGCGTTGGAGTAACATAGCCAAGCATGGGAAGAGATTACCCTATGGACATAAAATATCAAATGATTATTGATTTGGCTTTAGAGGTGTAACGAATAGTGAAAGATAAAGGAAGCATGATATCTGGTGCTAGTAAAATTTGTTCTAATGTTTATTGGCAATTCCCAGAGCCTGGAGTAGTCAAAATCAATACTGATGGTGTAACACGTAGCAACCCGAGGCACGTGGCTTGCGGTGGTATGTTACGTGACTCGAGTGGCAGGTGGCTGAATGGATTTACAGTTAGATTGGGGGTATGCTCCTTATTTAAAGCTGAATTATGGGACATTCTCCATGGGTTGGCGTTGGCTTGGAACAAAGGATTTAATAATATCATCATAGAAAGTGATTTTTCAAATGTAACCACCGTGCTCACTTCGGATAGTGAAGCACTCCATGATCTTCAACTTGTTACTCGTATACAGACATGGGTTAGAAAAAATTAGCAGGTTTGTTTGCAACATACATACAAATAATTAAATATGTGCGTGAATTGGTTGGCAAACTACATCCTTAATGTTAGTAATCTTGCGAACCAGATGATATTTGTGGAACCTCCGAGTAATATACTATTGTTATATCAGGCTGATCTTACCTCTGTAGAAAGGAGCGAGTCATTGATATTTCTTAATTAGTTTTAGTTTTAGTTTTTTTCCTTTTTGTTAGCCCTGGCCCTTTTTTTTTAAAGGCTAAAACTATAACAGCTTTAATAAATAAAAGTAAATGTGACGAGATTATATGATATTAAATTTTACCATTACTCAATCATAAAGTATATGCATAAAGAAGAAAGTTACATGGAACAATAAATAAATATTGTTCGATCATCTCTAGTACCATTTTTTGAAGGGATTTAATGTTGGGCTTCCTCCTTCAATGCTAAGCCCAAGCCCATTGAGGAATTTTCCAAAAACCCTAAACCTGGAACCCTAGATCTCACCTCCTCTATATATTCATTAGTTGAGGGTGGAGGCTAGGTTAGAGAGAGAAAAATTTGAAAGAAAATTATTTGAGAGATTTGAGAGCAAAACTTTAAGCTTTGTATTTTAGAGATCTCTAGAGAGAGTTTGAGTGAAACATCTCTAGGGTAGTTTGGTTATCACCATTGTTGGAGAGGTTGTGTTAACCGCCACATTGGTGTATTTTGATTCTCTGTATCCATTATTTTCATAGTGAACGTTTGATCTGGACTAGGTCACGTGAGTTTTTACTTCTTCATTGGAGAAGGTTTTCCCACGTTAAATCTGCTTGTGTTCTCCTTCTCTCTCTCTCTCTCTCCAGTTTGTGTTTTTTGTTTTTCGCTGCTGCCCGACCTGGTGAAGTTCAGGCCGAGGTAACTGCCGAGATCCGAGATCAAGGATCTTGTTGATTGACTTCCGCGAAAAGGCTGCTTAGCCAAGCTTGAGGGAACCGAGTTCCCAACATTTAAAGCATTAATTATGGGATCTGTCCTGAATCGGACTAGTCGTGAAACGATGAATCGATTGAAATATTTCAAAAAAAAAATGTTGAGTGTCACCATATAACAAAAAAAAAATTGAAATAGAGATGGGATGAACAAGGATGGTTAAGGCTACACTACAAAGAAAATTGATATTTAGAGACGATTATTTAGGATATTGTCGAGGATAAAACCGCCTCTAGTTAATTACTTCCCTTGGAGGCTTGTGAACCATCACCGTTAACACCGTCGAGAGATAATCTGAAGTGGTTCTCATGAACCACTGGAATTATCGCCTCCAAAGGATATAATTGCCTCCGACAGATATTCTGCGGCGATTATATTAATCGCCTCCAAAATGTGTTATGTTGTGGTTATGTCTACCGCCTCCATAAGACATTCTAAGGCGATTTTACTAACTTGACTTGAGTTTGATAAATATATTAATATATTAAATTTATTAAATAAAATTAAAATTTATTTAAGTAATCAATTTATATGTAAATATATTTTTATTCTGGGTTCAAAAATTAAAATGAAAAAAAATGCTAGCTAAAGATAGGTAATAAAGAAAATTAAAATGTTAAAAGAAATACCAATATATCAAGGAGTAGATTGCTATATTGATGTACAATATTCACCAACATTACACTCAAGGATATGACCAAATACACATAAATTAGAAGCGAATTGAAAACGAATAAAACAAGAAAATCTAGAGAAAAAAAATCAAATAAATGATGAGTCGATTGAGTTAAAATAAAGAGAGTTAAATTCAAGTTAAATTCTACATAGTTTGGGACAACGACCAAAATGCCACACTATTTACAAAAAATTATCTGAATGCCACGGATCAAAATTTTTCCCCCAAAATGCCACATCACCTAACTCCCTACAACACCTGGAGAGTTAGGTGACATGTGGCAGTAAGTTCATGGCCATGTAAATTGTTGCACAGTGCAGTGAGATTACACGGCAGACAGCTTCTGCCACACGACATAAAACGCAAGGCAGCTTGGCATGTTACATGTCTGACACATGTCAAACTCGCTATGTTGCATAACATGCTACGTGTTATCTTTTCTGACACGTGGCCATACACGCTGTGCTGCATAGCATGTTATGTGTAAGTAGCCCAACGATCCAGCATTTTTGGTCTAATAAATTCACCACTCCTAAAAGTAATTAATTAACAGTTCTAAAATAATTTAAAATAATAAAAGTAAATTAAACTAAATTAATTAACACACATAAATTTAATATTATTCATTAACACTCCTAAATTAAATTAAATCACTTAACAGTTCAAAACAATTTTAACTTAACATAAACTAAATTAAATGAAATTAATTAACACTCCTAAAAATAATTAATTAATATTTCTATAATAATTTAAATTAATATAGACAAAATTAAACTAAATTAATTGACAAACCTAAATTTAATTTAATTCATTAATATTCTTAAATTAAATTAAATTAAATTACTTAACAGTTAAAAATAATTTAACTTAACATAAACAAAAGTAAATTAAATTAATCAATACTCCTACATTAAATTAAATTAATTAACACACATAAATTAAATTAAATTAACGGTCCTAAATTAAATTATTTTAACATAAGTTATTTAAAACTAAAATATTCAAACCAATACTAATTTTCCTTAAATTATTTTATTTCAAAATACAAAATTCAATAATTAAAATCATTCTATAATTTATTAGACCACAATGATGCAAGAAATGGGAAAGGAAGTGGTGAATTTATTAGACCAAAAATAATGATGGATTGCTAGTCTACTTACACATAATATGCTATGCAACACAGCATGTATGGCCACGTAACATGCTATGCAGCATAGCAAGTTTGACATGTGTTAAACACGTAATACATCAAGCTGCCTAACATTTTATGTCGTGTGACAGAAGCTGTCTGCCACGTAATCTTGCTACTCTGTGCAGCGGCTTATGTGACCATGAATATGCTGCCACGTGTCCACACCTAACTTGACATGTGTTGTAATGAATTAGGTGATGTGGTATTTTAGAAGAAAAAAAATTCAGTCCGTGACATTCAGATAATTTTTTATGAATAATGTGACATTTTGATTGTTGTCGTGTATAATTTGATGAGTTAAAGGTTTGAATATGTAATTTATATTTAATTATTTGCTTTAGTATTATAATAAATTAATATATAATTTACCGGGAAGTTGGATAAAAGAAAAGCATTACATTACCAAATTTTCATCAATAGAAACACAATAATAGACTGTCTCTGGTAGTGATTATTTTTTATAGGGATAGGGGTAAAATTGATAGTTTAAAAATTGAATGAGATCCAATTTTTTTTTTTTAACGAATCTTATTCATTTTTTGTGTGTTGAGTTGTCATATTCCCCAATTAATATCTACGCCATAAAATAGTTAAAATTAAAACAGCGGAAGTTATTTTAACGCTACATTTTATTTTATTTTTTAAAAAAGAAGAATGTGGATCCCGGGTTTTTCTATCAGACATTACCTTTTTGCTGCTACAAACATATGATACACCATTAAAACATGTAGTGCCTCAACTAACCACACAGGGACATGAACGCTTCCTCTTCGTAGGTTACAACTGTCAGGGTCCCACCACTTTCCCAATCCAACTTCTTTCATTTTCACATACCTCACTGTCCGAAATACCCACTAAACAGAAAAAAACAAAGCTTTTAAGGGAGTTGAAGAAAAAATGGTGCAGCTTGTGGTCCTTCGCAGTGCCAGTACTATTCCTACTCCTCTGTCTCTTTGTCCCCTTTTCTCTTCATATACCCCTCAAACTTTGCTTCCAAGTTGCAACCATTCATATATATCTCTCTTTTTCCTTCATGGACAAGTTGGAGTACTCAAAGATGATGATGATGATGAGGGATGATGAGGTGGTTATGAAGAAGAGGGAGACCATAGAGGATTATTGTGTTGACGAACAAAATGGTTACTTGGAAGATGATAAGAAGAAGAAAGGGGTGGTTGTGGCTTGTGTTGGGAAGAAAGACTCTGGTGGTGGTGGTGGTGGAGGAAGCAGCATTAGGTGTTGTCAAGTGGAGAAGTGTAACACTGATCTTCACGATGCAAAGCAGTATCATAAGAGGCACAAGGTTTGTGAATATCATGCCAAGGCTCAGGTCGTGCTTGTTGGTGGTTTACGACAACGTTTTTGTCAGCAATGTAGCAGGTTTGGGGAGGTTCGAATTTGTGTGTTTTTGTAACTTGTTCCCCCCCATTTGTGTTTTGTTTCTGTTTTTTGTTTTTCTTACTAAACTTGGTCGTTTTTATGATAAAAGGAACGATCTTTAAACTCGATTGACATTAAATTGTTATTTCCACTGTTAGAGTTGGATAGTTTGGAGAGATTGGATGCAACTTGAATTTGAGTTCAATTGGGTGTCAAAATGGATTTTAAGTCCTTGATTTGAGTTGTGGGCTTGTGTGCTTACTTCAACACCACTTCTCTCTTGTTTCGTGAACGTTGGAATTACCCTGCTAATTCTCCGAATTGTTGTTGTGAATCTGCTGTTTATTTTCCTCATTATACAAGAAACTTAATATTATTATTTTATACCATTATTAGAGGGTTATTGGTAAGGCTGCTCTTTACTTCTTGATGATGGAAAGGTAAGGAGTTTGAGTATAGAAAAGAGTTTCTTTGTAAAAAACAATAAAATTTGTAAGGATAAAATTGAATACAATCAGCCATCACCTTTATTCAGTTTATGTGTGAATTTTGCTTTCCTCACCCCTTCTGTTAAAATTTTCTGGCTCCACAATTAGACTATTTTGATCCTAAAGTCGCATAGGCTTTAGGCTTTTGGATCTGTCTTTTTTAATTCTATTGAGTTTAATAATCAAGATACTGACTTGATTCTGATTACGTTGGAATTCTAATCAAACTCGTGTTGTAACTTTGTGCAGTGATTGCTTTAATGTCTACCCAAGAATGATGCTGCATGGGTCCATTATCCATATACAAATATAAAAAATTTGGAGTGTTATTTCATTCACTGTATATTGAAGTTTATATTTGATTTTGACATATGTGAAGGTGCACTGTGTTTAGTGCAATCAGAGTCCTGCCCTGCCATCTTTCCAAAATAAATAAATAAAACTAGTTCTGTTATCTGAATTAAGCTATAATCTTGTTCGTTCTTCCTTCCTCTTTGTTTTGGTCAAAATTGACTAGTGAAGTCATGTATTGGACCGTTTGCTTATACTATTTTTATTTATGTATCTATACTAACAATTGTGTTGCAGATTCCACGAGTTAGCTGAATTTGATGACACAAAAAGAAGTTGCCGCAGGCGTTTGGCTGGACACAATGAAAGGAGAAGAAAGAACTCTGAGTCTCAAGCAGAAGGCTCAAGCCGAAAAGGTACAGGCCCTCAGTTGAAGGACATTGCTTGTGGGCAAGTTGATGATAGAGGGAGAATTCAGACAACAATCCAAGAAAATGCAGCTTACAAACGTTTCCAGATAAGTTGAGATATGCTTTGGTTGTGAAGCTTGCTCTCTCTCTTCTGTCATCCTGGGGATGTATTGTTAAACTATTCCTGTTTCACACTTATATATGGTGAAATAAGGCAACATCCATTTCTTGGTGTTGCAGTTTCCACTGAAGCAGTAGAAATTATGAACTTATGTCCATTTTATGCTTAATCGTTATGCTTGACATGGCTTAGTATTCTTTGCCACCATTATGCTTTGTGTTGTGCTACATATCAATTAGAGAAAGATGATTAGTGGATATATATCTTGGTCAGAGATTTGAGACTGAACCTTTTAGCTACAGAACTTTGGATATCTTAAGTGGCAAATCAACTAATTTTCTCTCAATCATTTTGCTTATATTTACAGTCATTCATGCAACTAATTTGGGTTCTTCGTTCACTTTAATTAACTAGTATGTCTGTGATCTTAATGAAGGGAAGTAGTCCATGACTGTTTAATTAGATAGTTACTGTGTTGTGTGCAGCCATATCTAATGAAGAGAAATTTGACGGCCTGATTTCCGTCGAAAACGAATTTTGACCGAATTTTTACCATTTTTATGGAATTTTTCCGTCTGAAAAAATAGACTTTTCTAGTAGTGATTGTTTCTTAACTTGTATCCCTATCAACTGCCAAATACCACGCAAGCTATATGTATAGTCCCACCTAAATGTGGCTTTGTCCAGAGATGTTGAATATGGGTAGGCATTTTCCTTTTAGCATCTTCTGTGTTTAGAACTATTTGAACTAGTATGACATGTGAAAACTCCACGGGTCAAGTTGGCTTCCGGAATCCCGTTTGCCATAGGATAAGATATGTGCCGAAAGCACAATGAGCCAACTTGCCTTAGCATGCTAAAAGAACAAAAGTAAAAAAAGATGGGCTACCATAGAATAATGTCCTTTTTTTCTCCTCCATTAATGGATTCCTTTTGATACAAAACTGCTACGCGCTAAAATAGAACAGAACAATAATTTGTTTTTGTTGATTAGCATCAGGCCATATTTTTGTTCCAGGAGATAAGAGTTCCTGTAAAATTATGCTATAATGTTAGGTATGAAATTTTTTTATATACTAACCATTTTGTTTTTTACTATTTTTTTAGAACCATATTTATACAACTTGTAAAATTAAATGGTAGCAATAGAGTCACTGTGAGAAAAGGTTCCTAACCAAAAGAAACAAGGGTATTTCTTGTCCTTACCATAACTGTCATTTACTAGGTCTAAACACTATTATGATACTAAATGGTGGTAGCTCAGTTGGTAGCAAGAGAACTGAGTAAGTGAAAAGAAAAGGGTCTCGATTTGATCCTCACATGTCACCTTTGGGAGGGGTTTAAATATCTTTATCGCTGACCCGTTCCGCACTCCGGATTAGTCTCATAGCCAGCTCAAAGAGTCAAAGCTTAGGGGAATTTCGGGGGAAGCTAACTCGCCTCAAAAAGATAATTAAGGTTGATAACTCAAAAAAAAAAAAAACACTTATGATTCTTAGCCATTAGGGCTTAAAAAAACTAGTCACATCTCCCACTTGTCTTGAATGTCTAGCAAGTTACCTTGTCTGGCTTGTGTTGCTGTGGTCTATAGTTCATCATTTGTCAAGTTCCATATAAATATTTCTCTCTTTGCTTTGGTCATTGTCGGAATGTGTCACTAAGCTAATTTTAGAACATATTTGCATGTGCAGAGTGCACCGAAACTTTGTTCTCTTAGATATAATACAATACCACCCCCTTTTTGTGATGGCTAAGGAGTAAGAAGTACTCTTTCCTTTGCTCCAAATGAGAGAAGAATTCAAAGTGGTATGGACCTGATCCGTTTCGCTGAATTTAGCAAAGACATATCATTTGAGGATTATAGAACTGTGTCTGAACATATCTCCAATTTTGCCTCGTAAATGTTTGAACTTTAAACTAATAAATGGGATTTGCTAACCAAGGGACGAATCAAAATCTTTCCTATAGTGGGATAAATCGTGATTCTTCTTCTGACAGCATACATCCTTTAATCAAATGTATTCATTTATTTTAAATTGAGGTGTGTAGAATGTCAAGTTTTAATTTTCCCAAAAAAACTTAAGGGTTGTTGTTGGTTGTTAGGAATAAATCTCTCAAAAGCTTAGTTCTTATAAAAAAAATATTTTTTTCTTCTAAAAATGCTTAAGGATGTTGGGACAAATTAAGTTTAACAAGTTTTCTAGAATCTATTATCTCAAAAGTTCAAACGATTAAATAATGGTTCATAATTGATTTTAGATCTACAATGCTCTTTTCATACAAGAATTCTTTAAAAGCGTGAACCCCTAATTACTTAGTTAAATATGTTTTGGTATTACTTTAAGGGGCATGTTATATTTACAAACTTTTTTGTTTACAAACTCTTACAAACTACACTAAGTACGACCGGTCATACTTTAATCATGCAGTGTACGACCGGTCGTACTTAGTGTAATTTGCAACAAAAGTTTGTAAACGGATCCTATCCTTTATTTTAAAGACCTATTCCCTGAAAAATTTAAATTGTTAAGTGAACACTCATGTATAATTTTATTACAAGTATAATGTAAAATTTTCCATATATACACACGTCAAGGTGTTAATGAATTATAAGGGCAAATAATGTTTGATTAGATAGGAATTTCTTAACACAGTGGTTGTGTTTGTTTTTAGAAAAATAATACTTACTACACATTAGCATATATATGATATATCATCTCACGTTTAAGTAAGGTGACAAAATTAAATTGTCAAATTATATATAATCATATAATAAAAATTACATTTATATGATATTATATGTGTACGAACATATGTAAATAGCATTATTCTCTTAAAAATAATGTCTCAAAATTGATGAAATGACAATAGATGCTACAGGTGAAACTTTCCAGTGTTTACCAGAATTGGTAATGAAGTTGCTGAGCCTCATTCAGTGGTTAGGATTTGAGTATGGATGTCTAAGAATTGAAATATTATTATCAATTATATCAATTGCAAAAACAATATATCTGCAGACAGGTTTCCTAAGAACACTATGTCAAGGGTGAAAGAACACTGTAGAGGTATTTGGTTCAGAAGAATTTTTTTTTTATTAGGAAAATAGAATTACTAAGAATATTATGGGAAAGTGATTTTAGTAGGAAAGTTTGAAAAAAGTTGTTTGGTACGCTGAAATATTATCGGGGAAATTGAGTTAAATTTTATGAGTGTATATTTGATTGAAGATATAATATTGATGGAAAAATTGATTAAAAATACTAAAATACCCCTTTTTTAAAGTTTTTGAATGTGGATTACTGTAAAGTAACAGTGCAGTGTGTTGGACATTTGTGTAAAGTTTGAATGTGTGTTGCCATATTTACCAAGTTAAATACAAAATACCACCTCCAAGTTGTCTTTCTCAACAGTGACTTGGCTTTAATTTTAACAAGCATTTATAAAACGCTATGCAAATACCAAAGCTGGGGAAATGTTTCAAATTTCTCTACCAAACATAGACTACATACTTTGCCAAAACAAATGCAAGGGAGAATATTTAAAAAGCTTGAACCAAACGCCCCCTATAGGAATACCTACTATTCCCTCAAATGGTTGTCGTTAAGCCTAGGTCCAATAATCCAACCCATATTTAAAGTCCCACATATCATCTCTCCCTTTGGGGAAAGTAGATACTTTTCCCCCCAATTCCAGGCACGAGTTATGATAGTGCCTTATACCAAAGCAAATGCAAGTGACCCAGATCAAACCATCCCATCCAGCCCCACTTTTCCTCATTGCATTAACTGCAAGTCCCACAACATTGAACCCCATCTATAAATACATCCTCTCAGATAACTCAATATTCATGAGCTGTTACTTTGTTCAATTGGAAAGTCACCTCAACCGTTAAACACCCCCCTTTTTATGGTCTCACAGCATTTGGGAAGCTTTTTAAGGGCCTTGGTTTACACCATTCTCATAAGAGTTGTAACACCCTGTAGTACTCCGGTTGTTAACATACATGATATTTAGCATACACAACGGAAGACTTCATTTCGAAAACATAATAAAGCGTCTTATAAAAATACGAGTAAACTTTTTCCAAAATATTTTCTAAAACATTTTCAAAGCGTTCATCTGATATAATGTAACATTAGCATCTAAGTTTACTAATTAAAAACCATTGGCCATCACTAGTGGCCGTTGACCATCCAGATATGACTTCAAGTGTCATTCCTGACGGAATCTCACGGACAGTATAACGGTTGTATTTCGGATAACTGGGAATATGGGTCCCATACATACAATAACCTGATAGATACAATAATTAAACAGACAGCTTGCAAGTCCCACAAGAACTGCAATCCCCTCTCATGGTCAATACAAATAATAAGGCTCCATGCCCAAATACCTGAATATATATATCAAGTCTATATTAATTTCCAAAACGTCTAAGCATCAGTAAATAATCCCTGGCTCCAATACTACAGTCATGAGCCTAAATAAATACATAAGATAATCTCCATAAGATAATTAAACATGTTAATAATTATACATGCCATCATAAAGTCTAATAATAATAAAATAAATCAGCATCGTCATCCACTACTCCAAGGCGGGGGCCTTGCCCCTAGAAGCATCACCACTACTTTGAGTACCTGAAATGATGTCCCCAAACGGGGTGAGATAACACATCTCAGTAAGCTCAAAGTTCATAGAGGATTCTTTAATCCCCTGAGTCCATTTCCTGCATGACAAGTTAGATATATAGCATATAATACAACCATACAACATAAATATAGCATCATCATATCATCCTTGTGTAACCCCAGGATCAAAGCCATAAACGGTTACACATGTGTGACTCCAGGGTCAAGCCTTAGACAGTCAACAAGACCTCAGTACGAAATAGCTCCCAGAGTCAAGTCATGGGTAACCTACATACAATGATCACTGGCCATGATTCTCATAACATATATCATCAGTGCATCATCATAACATCAAGAATCATATAACATCTATATGAATGTGAATGAATGCACATATACATTTGTTCTGGATGGCCCAAGTACTGGGGTGGCCCAACTACACAGGCCCAACCCTTAGCTGACCCAATCGCTCAAGCCCAGCCTCAGCCTTGCCCCACGTCAGCCCTTAGGGCTGACATGGACCCCTTCAACCCCCAACGTAGCAGCAGGCCCAAGGCATACACCAAAATGTCCCATCTTGGAACGCTAACTGCTGAAGGCGACTACGACAGACACCATAAAGGGAAACTCCCCCTTTGCCCGGTGCTGACACCGCCAGAATGCAGAGGGCGCAGCACTGCCACAAGGACAGCGCCAGCACGCCTAACACTGCATCATGGGAGTAAATCCCAAGGAGAGTTGACCTCTCCCTCACCAACCCGCACC